ACCCCGGTTAACTCTCGATTATAGTCGATGTTTCAATAGAATAGTGGATTGAGAATTCCTAGTCGACTGCAGAAAACGACGACGACGGTCGAATAAATGTCGCTAAGAGAGGAGTAATTTTTTCCGAGACACGTCGATGGTTTAGCGGTTGTTATCGTCGCCTGTGATCGTACAGAACAGTGTTGCGTTTGASGGGTTCGAAGGGAGTGTAGCTCAAGCGTGTGTTTGCTGTGTTTACGATACTTGGATAGGTTTGCGTTGCAGGTCATCGCAGACCGTTGTAGGGAATAATATTATTGTGTGTGGAAAATGGAAAAATATCTCTCCAAGCAGCGTGTATATTGTAAAATATTATAAAATATAGGTCTCGGGCAAAACAGAATAAGGTCTTTTGGAAAACAAACGAATAAACGTTTTTTAATTTTTTTGGGGAAAAAAATACCTATTATTACATCCAAATGGAAATCAATATTAAAATGTTAAATATTTATAAAATTACAACATTGTATGTGGTGTATTTTAATGTTTTTGGTCCAGATATYTATCGAAGACGCTATATCCTTGGGCCTAAGACGTGTCAGAATTCGAACTTGAGTCGGTGAGGATAAAAACCGTTGGATTATGAATACATATATATATATATATATGAGAACGATGGCGTGAAATTTTGATGAAAAATAATAAATCTACGTATAGGTATTAAGACGTAGACACGTGTCTGGAGACGCCGAGGGGATTAAACACGCGAGTGTGGCTAATGATAATAGCAATAAGCAACGGCGTGAAATTCGAAATGGTTTTTCAAGAACACGACAAACGGTATATAAAAACGACAGCGATTGCGCGAAATCATAACATTTATGTGGCATTCTTCCGGCGAAGAGAGATCATCTGGTGRTTTCTWTATTATTATATACAGAGTGGWTAAAGAGAGCAYATTATACACCRTTTGGTGACGACGGATTTWWAAAAAAAAAACTCGATTAGCGTGCGACGCCTAAACCTTGTAAAGTAGCTGAGGTTAGGCTCGTGGTTTTGGTAGAGGAACACCACGCCGTGCTAGTGCAGAAATAATAAATTTAAACGTTTTTCGAATAATCTTGTTAAATATTGTGATATATATATATTGTGTTACGAGCGATTTTCTTGTTTAAACGTAATGTTGTCGTGATAAATAGCGAGGAAAGTGATGCGACTTGCGRTTAGGGTACCGGTTGGAGGGCGGAACGAGGACATCCGCCACATTAGCGTCGAACCCTAAAAAATATAAACACTGGACAAAAATAACGACGATCGGTGTACGATACGTTTTCGCGAAACAAATTAAATTCGGTGCGGAAAATAACGTGCGTGGTAGTAGATGGATTTTCCCGGAGTAGGTTTTCCACGACGAGACACCGATTGACCCGTTCACTATAATGCCAAAGACTTTGGACACGGACCCGTCCGCACCGCATGACTTTATAGACGTCGTCTCACTCGATATAGTACCTAATAATAATATACAGCCGACGACACATCACGCGCGTCCGGATCGTATTTTACATGTAATCGCGGATGCAACGTTTGAACACGTTTTACAATTATTATTATTATTATTTTTTTTTTTCTATGGTATCGAGGACCGGAGAAGGAACTATGTTGCCAATACTTCTCCTCCGGCCCCTATTATTATTATTAATATAATGTTTAATATCATACACTGTTTACGAGTGGGCACCGTCGTCAGACCAGCCGGGCAATAAAAKAATGATGGAAAAAGAAATGTACAAGTTCATTACAACGGTGTATAATATTATTATTATTACCACCTACGCGTAAGTAATAACACTACCTACCTACTCTATCATACCATATTGTATTATTACTACTGCTAAATAAGAATATAAAAAAAAAATTATGTATAATATATATATATTATGTAAAACATAATAATAATAATTGTTATTATTATCATGTAATACAATATAGTTACGGCTATTGTAGTGTACAAGAGTTGTGTACAGGTATAATATGTATTATGGGAACGCATTATAATTGCATGGCACACAATAACGAAGAAAATCAAAAAAAAAAAATAAGAAACAACGTGCGATATACTACACTGGTATAACGACAGTCGTGGTAAAAATAAATTGTTTTTCTGCTGTGGGTAAAATTTGCAAAAAAAAAAAAAAAAATCGATGGTCAGTTGTTTATTCCGATTTCATTTAGGCACGTCCCCTACTAGACGTTGTGCCGTTTCATGTGCAGCGACAGGTGRTCGGACCTGGAGAATGCGCGGTCGCACAGCCTGCACTTGAACGGCCGGTCGCCGGTGTGCTTGCGGAAGTGCCGGGTCAGCTCATCGGACCGGGCGAACTTCCAACCGCACCCGTTCCAATAGCACTGGTACGGTTTTTCACCCGTGTGCGTGCGCAGGTGCGCCTTGAGGTGCGAGCTCTTTGTGTAAGTCTTTCCGCATCCCGGGTGACCACACGAGTGGTTGGCCGACGTCTTTTTAGCGCGTTGCGGCCGCCGGTCGCCGACGCCTCCCGTCCGCCTCGACGATCGTTGGCCACCGGCGGTCGGCTTCGCCACCATTTTTACACCATCTTCAGGCGGTGACGACGGAGGCGTCATCATGGCCGCCGTGTATGCCGCGGAAACAGCGGCCGCGGTTGCTGCCGCTGGCGTCGGTTGTTTGTGTGGGTGGCCGCCGGCGAGGGCCGCAGGAGCCGCGTTGGTCGCTGACAAGAGCGTCGCCGGTGACGCCGTCGCCGTCGTTGTCGTAGAGGCCATCAACTGACGCACCAAGAACTTGGAATCCACGATGGCGTTCCCGTCGTCGCTGTCGTCCGGTGGGCTAGCCGGCGGAGATATCTGTTGCTGTTGCTGTTGCTGCTGTTGCAGTTGTTGCAGTTGCAGCTGTAATTGTTGCTGCTGTAGCTGGACGAGGTGATGGTTGTTTTGCTGCTGTTGCTGATGCTGTTGCGGGACATCCATCACTTGGCCGCTGCAGTCACCGCTGGGTCCGGGTGAGTATATGTACATCACTCCGTTATAATCGGCAGGATTGTAGTCGGTCAACCTGCGAACAACGATAACGTCACAGTATTATCGATGACGTATTATTTTTTATAACAAAACGGGCAAAGGGTCAAAACTAAAGAACGTTCTATACGATATAGTGTAATAAACAAATAAAAAGAKAATAAAGTCAAACAATATCMGTGGCGTATTTATGGTACCTAACTGATTTAAGATTTCCAAAACAAAAATGTACCTACAATTCAAAAATCCTTATTATAAGACAAATTAAATAATTTAGCTGGCGACACACAAAGCCATTACATATCAAATGATTAAGTAGATTATAGTACCTATATAGGTATATTTTCTAATCACAATTTAAAAAATAAAGTTTAAAGAGAGATTCGAACCAATATTTACGATGAACATTTTGTTTTGGAATTTTTTTTCTGCACAGATTTTATATGACTTAACGAGTAGGGTCCGTGGTTGACATTATTGCGAGCAAACACGACTGTCGAAAATATTATATTATTCAAAAAAATAATAATATAATAGACCGTACAAACGTGGAATAATAATTATGATTATAACAATATAATATAGTATCAACACATAATAATAATACATCGAGACTCAAAACGATTGTACTTGTACATCGTTTGAATAGCGAATTAGACTTATCGAAAAATGTACCTTTAAAGTTTAAGTATATACCAATAAAATCATCGAATTTTTCGATTTGCATGCAAATGGCGTACTTATTATATTGTGCTCCCTAATTATTATGACTTTACTGTTGTTGTGCGATTATTATGCACTCTTATACGGTCTCGACACGTTTCGTCGTAATATACATTTACATATCATGTACATTGTATGCAACGCCGTAGCGGTTATTATGCAAGTGCATTTATTCATTATTGCAAGCTTCATTTGCCTATATATTATAAAGTACACGATAATTATATTATTTGATATGAACTACGTAYAGCTGCTGCTGCAGTTATCTAATTATTGTAATGTGGGCTGGTGACTATATATTATACGGCGTGTAGGTTTTCACTTYGTCATATTCGGCGGCGGCGCCTCTGAGCGTAATGAAATAAGATATCACACTACAAGTACCTACCATGCATGATATATTGTTAAATAAATTATAAAGGTACGCTATATGCGAATAGCGGCTTTCGTTTATCGCTCTSTATAGCGTCATAACGGTCATCGAAACCTCATTTTGTAGCCATTGTATCATATTCCACGCTGCAAACAGGAGCACGGGATCTCGAAATKACGGGAAAAACGGGCGCATATGACATACGTATGCACTTGTTTTACCATCATTGAATTTACCTGCCTACAATACATTAATTAATAAACAGTTTTGTGAAAAATACGCKTATATAAACATTGCGTTTATTTGAAACGCATAAATGTACGATTTATAGACTGTTTTTGGCCAATTATAATATCGAGAAGGATATATTGTATCTAAGAAAAAGTACACAAGGATAGATAGGCGGAAGGTCCATGGTTCAAGTTTGGTTTCAGTCCAATTGATATTTTATTTATTTTTTATACGATAAGAAAATGTTAATATCGTCAAAAATTGTATTTATATATAATGTTTGTCACGATGTACGGATATAATGATATAGATATCGAATTCCTTCATCTTTCATGTCAAGTRCATGAATAATGTGTGTGTAAACAATGCTTAAATAGTTAAATCTAGACCTGCAGTATAGTAGGTGCCTAGGTATGGGTACCTAGGACGTGTGATAAAATCGCGAAAGCGATAATCAATTTTATGTATAAGATTTACATGATAAAAATTCCTAAATGCCAAATGTTGAGCGATTAAGAAAATATGACGACGAAATCAGTTGTTTGTGTCTTGCATAGATTATTTTTAAATTTAAAGCATTTTTATTAATAGTTGAAAAATTGTCCAAATGATTAGGTCATTACTCTTTTATTTATAACTTAGTTTTACGGACTTTTATAAAATGCTCTTTCTTATCCAACAGTGACCGTTGATACCACAATAACAAGCGTGACCGCGGGAACTGAACGCAATCAAATACATACAATCTTCTTACTTAACGTATTATATACAATATAATTATATAGAAACCGGTTAAACTAATATATTATTATATATTCTTAAAAAAACTGAAATCCGTCAGTGWATTTAGATCGCAAAGTGTACATAATGTTAAATAATGTAATCGAAAGCGCTTCCGCAATGACCTTAGTTTTTTCTAAAATTAAAAAAAAAGACTGTCCATACAGTTTCTGCAATTCTCGATAAGTATATTGACACTTCGTAGTGTAAAAGTAAACCAGTGAATAATTTTAAGGCATTTCAATATTTTTTCACACTATGTTACGATACCAATATATACCATATTATTATGATGATGTCATAACATGATTACACTAGAATAATATTATAGTTGATTATAATATATTGCGTTAAAATAATGCTTAATAAATTTTGTTTTTTTTTTTTTAATGCTACTCAAGCAGCAATTTATCCTCTTACATTAATATCCTGTCGTTATGTTATTTGGAAGTGACTAAAATACGATTGCCAAAAACAGGTTTACGCTCATTTAGGGCAACACGGATTTGTAATTATTTTGGTACCTATCGTACGCATGATATGTATTTTAGAACCTCGACGAAGGTTAGAACAAAATAGTAGCAAATTAATACTACTGTTGATGATGTTTTAATATAACATTTAATGACGTTCGACCAACTACCTATCTACCTCTCTTTAGACGGACACATTATAACACTATTAATTATTTCATATGAATTAATATTCGGTTAGAGTCGTTAAATTTTTATTCACATTTAAATTTAAAATAGTACCACGCGACATAATATTATATATTATATATATGAGGTTATGAAGAATGAATTTGCCGTTTTTGGTCATGTGACATCATAAATCATGTACAATATTATGAATTCATTTTTTATCGTAATAAAATAAGGATCTATACGCGCCATAGGTCGTATATAAATGATCGTAAATAATAAATACTAAGCATGAAAAATTGCTAATAGCTACATATTAAAATATACATAATTTCCAGAGTGATCCATTTAACGTAAGAAATTCATTATTTCAATTTCTTTTACATAATTTTAAGTCGTTACAAAACAAAATGTTATGGAAAAAAAAAKTTATTTTTATTATTTCTTATCGTTATCACTTTTAAGCTGTTTACTCTATTAAATTGTGACTTAGAAGTGGACCAACATTTTGCAGAGATAAGGAGTACCATTCATCTAAACTTTAGTTACCTACTTACAAATAATAAAATGCTCGTTCAAAATTCGATTTTAAACATCAAAGTACTCCAAAAAATATTGAACATAAAAAATAATTTTTTTGCGACAAAATTATGTAAGCATTATTTTCAATAAAGTTAATTATTTTTGAAATTACAAGTGTCTTACGTGAAATATATTACCCGATATATACAAAAAAAAAATGTATCGATTATAGATATTATATGAATGTATAATACTATTATTTGTATACACGTAATATACTTACGAGTTCTTATATAACCTTGATTTATAATTAAGATATTTCAATTAAAATTGAAAACTGTTTTGGTTGTTATTTTCAGTTTAAACGTTTGAAAAAAATAAAATAAAAAACAAATTTAAAAACATTTCAGATGGGTTTTGATTGAATCGGTTTATTATAACCTTCAAAGTTTAATMCACAACGAACAGCATAAATAATTCATATAGATATTAGGTATACTTAATAAAATATATTGTACTGCCATTCTGCACCCATTAATGTTCGAATGCGCATAAACATATTGTTAATATATAACTATATGTACTACACAAAAAACAACAAGACATTGTTTGAAAGTAAAAACTCGAATGTGCATTTCGTCGGTCAAACATGACAATTTTTTTTCCTCTGTTAGAAAGCGACTTTGAATTCGATTGACGAGGTTCGCACGAACCTTCAAACTCACTTATACCCACCAGACATAATATATAATATTATAATATGTATTAGGTATATTGCTCAGAGTACCTACTCTCAACTCTCAAGGGGTACACTTTAAATCTTTGACATAACTTTATAACTACAATATAGCTTTCATTTCAAAAGGTAATAACAAAAAATTAAAATTAACTTTCTAATTCAATCTTCAATCGATCGATAATTGATCGCCATTGATAGAAGATTTTAATCCATATTATATAACATTATAATAATAGTCAAATAGTAAAGACTATATTATAGTWATATAGAATAGTACAAGCGTACTTAGGTTATCTACCTATATGTTAATATTTGTAATATTTATTTTCATATTTAAAACGAAATTCAAAAATATTTATGAATAATGTACTGGATAATTAAAAAAGGAAAAATATTGAAATTTTTTTAAATTCGAGACCATCTTCTTTATATTTGAGGTGGGGGGGAGATGGATGTGTTTTGTAGCGCTATATAACTGTTTCTGGAACATGCAATGATGCAAGGACCGTATATATAAACATCTGTGCCGAAATGGCAAGATATAACGATGATAGTATCAATGCACACGCGTTTCTTATTCAATTTTGTTTTTTGTCATCTCCAGCATAGGTCCGCCACCAACCGAATCAGCACTATATGTACGATTTTAATCAAACATTATTAGGTAATGATATATAATATTATTTATTATGCATTATAGGCACGAGTCGGACTCGATTAGGCGATTTGCCGAGTCATTCCAAACGCCATTAATCCGGAGTGGGCCTCGAGTTGCACAAACGTATAATAAATAATAATAGTCATAGACCATAGTATATATAGTTATGGTAACACATACCTACTCGTATCCGTCGAAATGTATATCACAGACACACGCGCAGATCTACCTGTTGGCCATTATATTATAACGTGCRGATACCCATAATAATATAATTCCTACTCGATCSAGTGATACGGTTTCAACCGGTTCGGTTGTGTGACGCAACACGACAATGATATAAGAACAGCTCAATAAAAATKTGTCC